TCTCAGTTGACTTCTTGAATTTATCCCCTATCCTTCTCTTCATCCTTTCCTGTTGAAACTATCTGCCGTCTCGCTCCAAACGCACCTCTGTGAAACTCCCTTCCCTTTCCTGTTTGCCAGTGGCTATAATCTCCGCTATTGCTTGGGGTCAATCGACGTTAAAAAATCCTTTTTCCTCTATCTGCTCTCGCTGTAGGCCTCAAACGTAGTAGGCCTCAAATAAAAATGATTCCCGGACATCCTGCGATAATATGGTCGGCAGTTTCATCATATTTTGAGCAGATTCCGGATTTTGGGTTAGTTCCATCCTTGATTATTATTATTATTATTATTATTATTATTATTGTTGTTGTTGTTTTATTTCTTTTGATTCCTAGCGTATACTCGTTTCTTTCAGGGTCCCGACCAGAGACCTAAGTCAGAAATGGCATCATGACACTTTCCACTGACTAATATATATATATATATATATATATATATATATATATATTAGAAGTCGTCAAAAAACAAATGTTACGAAAGTTTTTTTTTTTTTATATGCACAATTCCTTTCATAATAAAATAAAATAAAATAAATAAATAAATCTCCATAGACAAACAAACTAGACGAAGGTTAATACACCTTCCGTTTCATTTTGACACCCCACCTTTCCCCGACTTGACACCTTGAAAGTATCTCTATACCGCTACTTATTATTAACACCCTACACTCGCCTACCCAATTTAAACAATTCGCCCTTGCTGTTACCATGGAGATTTTGATTTCAATTTTTAAAACAAGTAAATTTCAGATATACGTTATTCAACAAAAATTTCGCTTGAAGATGGAACGGAGCCCTTTTTAATTTCAACTCAATTTAATTTAAAGGATTTTATTGAAGTTTTCGCCTCTTGTTTTGAAACATGAGACCTCTTACGTAGCGATTTGGAATCATATTTTAAATAAATAATTATATATATATATATATATATATATATATATATATATATATATATATATATTACATAGATAAAGCCCTTCGTAAAGTGTGGGCTGTACTTGTCAGAATAATTTTTTGTATCTCCTTGAGGCATGGACTTCCAGGAATCACTTCAATTAGTCTACTGCAATATTTTCCAACCAGTCCTAGGGCTCCAACTACAACAGGGATTGTTGATGTTCCCATATGCCACATTTTCGAGATTTCTATTTCAAGGTCCTTGTATTTTGACAGATTTATTATTATTATTATTATTATTATTATTTTCTTTGATTTCTGGCGTTTACACATTTCTTTCCGGGTCCGCCCAGGGACCTAAGGTTAGAAATGGCGTCATGACACTTTCCACTGACAAAAAAAAAAAAAAAAAAAAAAAATTATTATTATTTCCTATGGTGTCTGGTATATACTCGTTTCCTAAGATCAGAAAAAGCATCATGGGATTTTTCATTGAGCAGTTTTTATTTTTATTTTTATTTTATTTTTTAATTTTTAATTTTTTTTTAAATCGCACATATTTTACATAGATAAAGCCCTTCGTAATGTGTGGGTTACACTTGTAAGAACGATATTTTGTATTTTTAAAGGCATGGACTTCCAGGAATCCATTCAATGAATCCATTGGAATCTTTTCCAGTCAATCCGAGGGCTCCAACTACAACTGTTTTCACTCATGCGCCACATTATTATTATTATTATTATTATTATTATTATTATTATTATTATTATTATTATTATTTCCTTTGATTTCTGGTGTGTACACATTTCTTTCCGGGTCCCGTCCAGAAACCTAAAGTTAGAAGTGACATCATGACATTTTCCACTGAGCAATTTAAAAAAAAAAAAAAAAAAAAAAAAACACACATTTTTTACAAAGATAAAGCCCTTCGTAAGATGTGGGCTATACCCGTGAGAATATTTTTTTGCTTCTTTTTTCTTCTATCTTTTTATTCTTCTCATTATTATTATTTTTTATTCTTCTCATTATTATTATTATTATTATTATTATTATTCAAATGTCAACGTGAGGTCCTAAACACAGCAGTTACAAAAAATGATTTCTGTGGAAGCTGCAATATATACGATTTTCCTCCAAATCTCAACCAGAGAATCCAAGAAAGAACATTTTGGTTTTTGACATTAGAATCTGCAAACAGATGCGGTGCCATGTAATCAAAACGAACCCCCCCACAAAAAAAAAAACCCAAAAAAAACACAGCGTTATTTCAATCAGTGCATGGAGAGAAATCTGCGCAGAGTATGAGGAGTGTTCCCCTGAGTATAATTTTTTTTTTCACAATTCACATATTTGCTTCAAGACTACCAGGAATTCATTCCACATGTTTGTCCCACACCTTTTGACATCACTCCTAAAGTTCTAATACCTTCAGGTCATAATGTTGTCTTGAGATGATTCATTATACTATTTTCTATCTCACCGTGCTTGTATTTACTTAGTTTCTCAAGCCTAAAGATGATACAAGGGTCTTGTACTCTCCCCAACTCTATGATATCGGCCTCAAACTTTATTACATCTCAATTTTCATATGGCATTATTCATATAAATTACAATTTTTCTGGTAAACTAATTATGTACAATAATCGATCATATGCAATATAGGTGAAACATTCAACTAGAAAAATTGAAAATAAATACAATCGATCTAAATACAAATTAGAGACATGTCATAAAGAATTCCATCTTAAATAAATCAACGGGTTTGGTAATTTTTATACATTAACTTGAACTTTTTTTTAAACCAGAGAAAATTTCATTATATAATGGTTTAAAAAAATTCGGGTTAATTTTAAAGTGTTTTATTTTTGAAACTTCATATCTAAAAAAATATTACGGACATGTCGAAAAGCCCCCCAGAATGAAATCAAAAATTTGAAAATTTTTTCTTTATTTTAATTGGTATTTAATTTCAAATCAAATGTAAGTTAAATAAAAGCAAATGTTAATAAGAAAATCACAAAGCATTTTGGCCTCCAATCGCTTAGGCTCTACGGTCGGGGGGTTTGAGGCTAGTAGTATATCATTCCCAAAGTTCTAATAACCTCTGTCATAATGTTGTCTTGAGATGATTCATTTACTATTTTCTATTTGCTTGTATTTCTTAGTTTCTCAAGCCTAAAAGATGACAAGGGTCTTGTACTCTCCCCAAATCTATGATATCGGCCTCAAACTTTAAAATCTCAATTTTTTGGTATTAGTTAAAATACCTTTTTATGGTAATAATTAGTTACAATAATCGATCATATGCAATATAGGTGAAACATTTAAAAAATTGAATAATAACCCGGATATAAGAGTTGTCGGGACCGGAGAATAAGTCTCTTATATCCGGGTTTGGTCTATTTTTATATACATTAACACATCTAATTTGGGACCAGTCCGAATATATCTCTAATATCCGGTCTCTTATATTTTCGGGTTACACTATAAATACCATATCTAAATACAAATTAGAGACATGTCATTATGCCCCTCAATAAATCAATAAATTTGTTATTTTTCTCTTTTTTTAATTGAAAAAATTAAATTTCAAATCTAATGGGTGTTAATGACCATAATCCGAAAAAATCAATTCTTTGGTTATAGCGTCTAAGAAAGATTTTTTATACCTCTTTAATTTCAATTTGACATGTTTCTTGTCAAATGTCGCCGACTATAAGTAGGGTTTAAAAAAAAACATTTTTAAAATTTTCCTTATTGTTTGGGGAGGTTTAAATTCCAAAATATAAGGTGGATATAATTAAATAATAATAAAATGTTAATAATAATAATAATTGCCATCAGGGCCACTTTGAAATATATGATCGGGCTCAATTTTCATAAGGTAGTATTTTACCATATATAAATTTTTATTGAAACCTAATTATGTCCAATAATGGATTTTTATGCACTAAGGTGAACAATTCAACTAGAAAAATTGAAAATATCTATCTAAATACGAATTAGAAATATACCTTAATAAATCATTCCATCTTATATAAATCAACAATGATTTGCGATAAGTTTTAACGTCAACTTGACATGTTTCTTGTTAAAAAGATGAATAACATTAGGGTTTAAAAAAAAAAAATAGCGAAAATTTTCCATAGTCAGTTTGGGGAGGGTTTAATTTCCAACGTATACAAATGTAAGTAAATAATAGAAAATGTTGATAAGATAGCGAGTGACACAAAGCATTGCCCGGGGCCTCCAATCGGGCTTAGGCTCCCACGGTCGGGGGTTTGAGGGTAGTACGCCCCGACCCTGCCCAAACCTGATAGTTTTTTGTCGGCTAGAGTGACAACATCTGTATTATTAATAGTAGCATTAATATTATTATTAGTAGTAGTAGAAGTAGCCATATTATTATCTATCTATTATTCGTAGTAGTAGTAGTATCTATTATTATCTATTTACAAATCGTATCTATCTATACAAGACCATTATGTATCTATTTATTCATAATCTATCTATCTATCTATCTATTTTAGTCTGTTTCATGATCTATCTATCTATTTATCTATCTATCTATCATGTTCATGTCAAGGTATGTATCAATCCTTATCTATCTATCTATCTATCTATCTATCTATCTATCTATCTATCTATCTATCAATCTATCTATCTATCTATTTAACCAGCTATAACGTTAGTTTCGCATCTTATTCGCACCAATATTTGCCCAATATTTACGACTGGATTAAGTGCATCGACAAGGAAATTATTATATTTAAATATACATATATATATAGGCTACGGACTTATTGTTATACTTCAGTTTTTATGGCCAAAGTAAAATAGATCGAGCAATAGACGAGAGTTGGCCGGGGAGAGTGAAACACACACACACACACACACACACACACACACACACACACACACACACACACACAGAGAGAGAGAGAGAGAGAGAGAGAGAAGTTATATAATCTGAAGAGAGACGGAGTGAAAATGAATGCCACGGAAAAGAGAGGGAGAGAGAGAGAGAGAGTGAAAAGATTCTTTTTAGCTTTTACGATGACATGCTTTTGTTGATTAAGCTTCCTAAAGAAAGGTGTTGGTCAAAGGTCAAGGAGATCTTTGCAGAAGGCCGAAAAGTACGGAGCACCACAGTGAGGATCGAACTCACTACTCAGTTTTAATTGATCTAGGGAGACAAGTTTTCTACCCATTAGACCAAGTCGAAGCGTCCAAAGTGATTTTCTAAGCGTACCTTAGTTGTAGCACAAAGAAGTGCCCAATGAGGATTATCTTCCCTACTCAGTCGTAATTGATCCAGCTTATACTCACCGGTCGAATAGAGAGAAAGAAAGACAAGAGAATACAACACAGGACATAATTTAAAGCAAGTGGATGACAGAACGTGGTCTGGGGGAGGAGGCAGAGGGAAGGAACTTGTTAAGAGCTGCAAGGGATAAAGGAAGGTCGAGAGCCATGATCGGCTACGTCCTGAAAGGACACGGCATATAGAAAGAGAGAGACAAGCTGGCTAACCATTAGACCACGTGGAAATACCCCCGTGGGAATGCCCCCGTTTGGAATCTATAACTAAAGACTCATTTATATTAGGTTGGTGCAAAAATAATGACGTAATAATGTCGTTTTTTGGACGTATTTTTAACGTCAAAAACGACATGATTACGTCATTATTTTTGCACCAACCTAATAATTGTAACATGCCTCCATTTTTTTTTTTTTTTTTTGTTTACCAGTACGGATAAACTGGTTGATATTTGCCCGATCGGCTGGGTGATGTACAAAAATGGCGCATATACGGCGATATAATTTAGCGATTATTTAGTCATTGACATAATTTCACTGAGTTTAGTCAGTGATTCAGGCATATAAAAGCAACCGCACCCACACCCCAGAATGGTGTTAAGGGGGAAGGGGAGGTAGAAAAAAAAAGAAGTCTATTTAATCCGTCGTTGCGTATTTCTTAAGGAACCGGATGTGTCAAGAAATATCCGGTAATTACGAACAACATTTGCATCATCGTTAATTTTAGACAGGCATCGTTTTATATACGTTATTGACTGTGGAATATCTAATTCAGTTCATTATCTATCTATCTATCTATCTATCTATCTATCTATCTATCTATCTATCTATCTATCTATTTCAGTCTGTTCATTATCTATCTATCTATCTATCTAATTCTGTTCATTATTATCTATCTCATCTGTTCAGTTATCTATCTATCTATCTATTTCAGTCTGTTCATTATCTATCTATCTATCTATCTATTTCAGTCTGTTCATTATCTATCTATCTATCTCAGTCTATCTATCTATTTCAGTCTGTTCATTATTTCATCTATCTATCTATCTATCTATCTATTTCAGTCTGTTCATTATCTATCTATCTATCTATCTATCTATCTATCTAATTCTGTTTATTATCTATCTATCTCTGTTCATTATCTATCTATCTATCTATCTATCTATCTATCTATCTATCTATCTATCTATCTATCTATCTCTGTTCATTATCTATCTATCTATCTATCTATCTATCTATCTATTTCAGTCTGTTCATTATCTATCTATCTATCTATCTATCTATCTATCTATTTCAGTCTGTTCATTATCTATCTATCTATCTATCTATCTATCTATCTATCTATCTATCTATCTCAGTCTGTTCATTATCTATCTATCTATCTGTTGAAACTTGACTAATGCATGGAATAATAATGAAACACAAAATGTACTTAGAACAAAATGTATTGAAACAAGAAAGTGTACACAATATTTACATATAGTCTCTGGTATATTCCTGGTAAGACCGTTCCTGGAGAATGTGTTGACTGAGTCGCAGTCGGGCAGAGTCTCAGGTTGAATCTCTTGATTCCTCCCTCTCTTCCCGGTACCAATCATATTTATATGGTCGGTACTCCACTATGAAAATTAGGTGGATCCTACCACAACACTATCTATCTATCTATCTATCTATCTATCTATCTATCTATCTATCTATCTATCTATCTATCTCATTCTGTTCATTATCTATCTATCTCACCAGCTATATTGTTAGTTTCTCATGTTATCCGTTCAAATATGTGCCCCATATTTACTACTGGATTAAGTGCATTGACAAGGAAGTTATTACATTTAAAAATACATGTTTTGACTTTGTATACTTCAGTATTAATAGCTAGACTGAAATAGATTAACTAGTAGACAATATGCGAGAGAGAGAGAGAGAGAGAGAGAGAGCGAGAGAGTTAACTAGAGAGGAAGTTTGTGAGAGAAAGATAGGAGGAGAGGGAATGAATGCCACTGAAGACAGAGAGAGGGAGTGAGAGAGAGGGAGAGAGAGAGAATGTTCTTTTTAGCTTCTACGATGACATGCTTTTGTTGATTAGGCTTTTAGGAAAGGTGTTGGTCAAAGTTCAAGGAGATCTTTACCGGAAGCCGTGACCTTTCGATGGTTGTGGAGACCTTTGGCAAACGTGACCGTCCTTGTTTTGTTAATAAAAAAAGAAAAAGAAAAAAAAGAAGAAAGAAAACATTCCCGTAAATTTAGATTTTGTGCTTCAACGAGAACAACCGAAAAGACAACGACATCCTGTATGTCTCAATACACTTATCATTCAAGATCGATGGATCAAATTCAAAACCTATGGCGAATGTCTTCTCCCTCCCCCTCTCTCTCTCACACTCTCTCTCTCACTCACACTCTCTCAATTTTCCCCATTTTCAATCTATCAATCCGGGACAATGGAGATAGAGAGAAAAATCGACATAACAGCCTCGAAAAACAGCATTCGGTTTGTTTTGTTCGGCATATCTATCTATCTATCTATCTATCTATCTATCTCATTGCGTTCATTATCTATCTATCTATCTATCTATCTATCTATCTCAGTCTGTTCATTATCTATCTATCTATCTATCTATCTATCTATCTATCTATCTATCTATCTCAGTCTGTTCATTATCTATCTATCTATCTATCTATCTATCTATCTATCTATCTATTTCAGTCTGTTCATTATCTATCTATCTATCTATCTATCTATCTATCTGGAACGTCGAACTGAACCCTTTATTTCGCTCACTGGGGTAGACTGTTCTAGTTCCACGTGCCATATTTAATGGATGTCAGATATCAGTTATCTCCTGTTAATTCACCTCTCCAAGCCGCTCAACTGGCTTAACCGGGTATTGAACTCACAACTCTTTGGATCCTGTCACTGGATCGAACTAACCCCTTCATCCACTGGCACAGAATTCTGACTTCAGTACCTGTTCATTATCTATCTATCTATCTCACCAGCTATAATGTTAGTTACTCATGTTATCCGCTCAAATATGTGCCCAATATTTACTAATGGATTAAGTGCATTGACAAGGAAGTTATTACATTTAAAAATACACGTTGGGAACTTGGAGAGGTGAATTACCAGATAACTGACATCCATTAGACATGGCAGGTGGAAGTAGAACAGTCTACCCCTGCAAGTGAAATGAAGGGCTCAGTTCGACATTCTAACCACCTGAAGAAGGCCGGAAAGCGTACAACAAAGTTGAGGCCGAAACGTTGTGATAAATAGGGCAACAAAGATATTGAAGGACAATAATCCGAATAATGTAAATGGCGACAAAGATGAGGACATTGAATAATGTAAATAATGTAATCTCAGAAATATAGACAGATACTGAAGTAGGCCAGAGCGTACAACGGCCGAAACGTTGTGATAAATAGGGCAACAAAGATGAGGACAATAGTCCGAATAATGTCAATAGAATAAACGATGATGAAATGAAATTATATCTATATTTGACTTCCCGCTCTTCTTATCGACATCACTTCCGGCCATCGGTGCCTGCCGCCATTATTGTTTGTCTGTTTCCTGTCACCATTTTCTCTTGACATTTCGACATATATTTTCGGTGGACGACTAAAGGCTGAATTGTGATTGTAAATTTAGACATTGTCCACACGCGAACGAGAGACTTCAGTTTACCGGCATGTAGGCCCTGTTTTGAGAAGACAGTATTTCCTATCGCTGTTAATAGCGGTAAATACTGGGTACGCGATGGAAGAAAGATATATTCCCCATTTGGGGATTATCAAACCTATGATATATATATATATATATATATATATATATATATATATATATATATATATATATATAATATATAAGAAATTCATACCAAGATGTCCTCAAGGACACATATTTGTGGGACAGACTGAAATTTCAATGGTTCATAGAATGCTTCTTAGAACTGGAAAGGCTTTTAATTTGGCACATGAACAAACGGGATATTTTTGCGATTTGCGAGAAGAGAATGTGGGCAAAAATGGTAATCAGGATTTTGGGATCAGGGCCAGTTTCGTAACCCGCAGAATCTACGTTACGCTTCCTAATCTATAATACGGGGCTCTCAGTTTCAACTTTTATAAGGTAGTATTCATATAAAATACAAATTTTATTGTAACCTAATTATGTACAATAATCGATCATATGCAATATAGGTGAACAATTCAACTAGAAAAATTGAAAATAAATACAATCTATCTAAATACAAATTAGAGACCTGTCATAATAGATGATTCCATCTTAAATAAATCAACAATGTTTAGCGGCAATTTTTAACATCAACTTGAGAAATTTTTGTTAAAAAGATGAATAATTCTAACACAGTCAACATTATGGTTTTAAAAAAAAACTAGTTAATTTTATAAAATGTTTTATTTTGAGAATTAGCATGAGCAAAAAATATTCACGGATTTGTACGAAAATAAAACCCCAGAATGACGTGAAAAATAGCGAAAATTTTTCATAGTCAGATTTGGTGGGTTTAATTTCCAACGTATACAAATGTAAGTTAAATAAAAGCAAATGTTGATAAGATAGCGAGTGACACAAAGCATTGCCCGGGGCCTCCAATCAAGCTTAGGCTCTAACAGTCGGGGGTTTGAGGCTAGTAGTATATAACCCCCAAAGTTCTAATAACTTCAGGTCATAATGTTGTCTTGAGATAATTCATTATACTATTTCCTATCTCACCGTGCTTGTATTTGCTTAGTTTCTCAAGCCTAAAGATGATACAAGGGTCTTGTAATTTCCCCAAATCTATGATATCGGCCTCAAACTTTATTACATCTCAATTTTCATATGGTATTATTCATATAAAATACAATTTTTATGGTAACCTAATTATGTACAATAATCGATCATATGCAATATAGGTGAACAATTCAACTAGAAAAATTGAAAATAAATAAAATGTATCTAAATACAAATTAGAGACATGTCATAATAGCTCCTCAATAAATCAATAAATTTATTCTTTTTATTTTTTTAATTGGAATTACATTTCAAATCTAATGGGTGTTAATGACCATAATCCGAAAATCACCAATTCTTTGGTCGTAGCGTCTAAGAAAGATTTTTTTATCACCTCTGCCCCGTGATTTCAATTTGCGTCTCTTTCTCTGGTCAGATGTCGCCGACTATAAGTAGTGTGTAGCTGAAAACATTTTTACAGTTTGCCTTATTGTCTTAATTGGAGTTTAAATTTGAAAATAGAAGGTGGATATTATTAAATAATATTTGCCCCCATATCTCAATTTTCATAAGACAGTATTTATACAAAATATAAATTTTATTGTAATGGATCATCATACTTATTATAAAACCTAGGTTGTGTGTGTGTATGTCTGTTCGTTTATATATTGGATCGGATTTCCTACATTTTTCAACCGATTTCAACAAGATTTCACAGGACTACGTAAAATTGCCTTGCGGTGGTTCTGACAGCGCCCAAAATTGGAAAAAACACAACTGTTTTGGCACAAAATCAATTTGAAAACACGATTAAGAGGCATCGCGAGAATGAAAGGGGGACAACTCATATCGAGTTATACTTATTATAAAACCCAGGTTGTTTGTGTGTGTGTGTGTGTGTGTTCGTTTATATATGGGATCGGATTTCCTACATTTTTCAACCGATTTCAACAAAACTTAGCAGGTAGTGTTTCTTATTGTCTTGCACACTTTTTTCTTTATTTTTACATTCAGAATGCTTTAAAAATTGCATTTACAAGACAATTGTTTATAATAAAATTCTAGTCAATCGGTAGACTCATAACGATTGAAAACAATGTTTTTGTTTGAGTTTGGGTTTGACCAATTCGTAAAAAAAAACAAAACAAAACAAAAAAAAAAACTAATTAAGACATGCGTGTCCGTCAACCTTAAACAATAATCTTTGTCAATTTTATTTTTCAGTCTTTATGATGGTCGATACTGTTAGTATGCAATAAAAGTGAACAATTCAACCAGAAAATTTGAAAATAAATACAATCTATCTAAATACGAATTAGAGACATGTCATAATAGATCATTCTATCTTAAGTAAATCAACAATGTTTTGCGGCATTTTTTTTTAATATCAACTTGAGATTTTTTTTTCTGCTGGAAGGCACGACATTAGGGATAAAAAAAAATGAACTTGATAGAGTGTTTTTGATCGAGACGAACGCCAATTCACGGACGATAAAAAAGGACCTGAGAATGACGCCAAAATCCACGAAATCCTGCTGGGTTTTTGTAACGTATACAAATGTAGGTAGGAAATGGCAAATGTTGATAAGATAGCGAGTGTCACAAAGCATTGCCCGGGGCCTCCAATCAGGCTTAGGCTCCCACGGTCGGGGGTTTGAGTGTAGTACGCCCCGACCCTGCTCAAACCTGAGCTTCTTGTCGTCTAGAGTGGCAACATCTGTCTTATTAATAGCATTATTATTAGTAGTAGTATTAATAGTAGTAGCCTTATTATTAATAGTAGCATTATCATTATTATTAGTAGTAGTAGTAGTGCCATTATTATTATTAAGATAAGAAGGGTCACAAAGCACTGGTCGAGTCCCCCAATCAGGCATAGGGTTTGTAGGTAGGACGACCCGCCCTGTTTACCATTCAACTCCACCCTAGTCCTCAAGACGACCCAACTCTAAAGATACTTGAAAAAAAAAAAATTGGGCCGCTTGTGCAGCTCCAAAACGATTTGCCATTCAGCGCTTTTTAAAACAATAAACATTGCCCAAGTGTCAAGGTAGTTAAAAAAGCGGATGTCATGGGGAAAACTGTCCTTTTGACACTTCGTCTTGTTGCGGTCACGAACGGCCATGTTTGCCGAAAAATATTTGTACTGCTTTTTTTTTTTTTTTTTGTATTTTTTTTTTTTTTTTTCGCTTGCTGCTTTTTCACTTCGTTCATTTTCCTTTTTTATTTTTCATTCTTGACTTAGTTTTATCCTAAACTCTGAGACATGTCATAATGTCTGTTATTCTTCTATCTTTTTTTTTCTCTTTTCTTTTATTCAGTTTGCATTCTTCGATTAAATCTGCGAGGAGGTGCTGAAAAATTATCGGCCATAACATGTCACTCACTTCGTATTTTCGTGACTAAATATGATATTTTGAAGTGTCGATCCGAGAACCTTTCAGTAGACACTCATAGAAATTCATCTTTTCTTTTCTTTTTTGCAATTTATTATAATTCAATCTTTCTTTCCTTCTTTCTTTCTTTCTATTTGTACCCATAATTTATTTTCCAGACTCGGTGAACCTATCATCTTAACATATCTTTGTTTGTTTTGTTTGTTTTTTTATATCTGTCCACTCTTTATCACTATCTATCTATCTATCTATCTATCTATCTATCTATCACTGTTCATATCTATCCATCTATCTATCTATCTATCTCATTCTGTTCATTATCTATCTATCTATCTATCTATCTATCTATCTATCTTCAATTCCATCTTCTTTCTTTCTTTATTTAATCATTCTTTCTTTCTTTCTTTCTTTTATTTAATCATTCTTTCTTCTGTTCCATTTTTCTTTCCTTCTTTCTTTCTTTCTTTGTTTTATTCCATTTTTCTTTTTTCTTTTTTTCTTTCTTTCTTTGTTTTATTCCATTTTTCTTTCCTTCTTTCTTTCTTTCTTTCTTTCTTTCTTTGTTTTAATCCATTTTTCTTTTTTCTTTCTTTCTTTTTTCTTTCTTTCTTTGTTTTATTCCATTTTCCTTTCCTTCTTTCTTTCTTTCTTTGTTTTATTCCATTTTTCGCTTTTCTTTCTTTCTTTTTTCTTTCTTTCTTTTTTTTTCTTTCTTTCTTTTTTTATTCCATTTTTCGCTTTTCTTTCTTTCTTTTTTCTTTCTTTCTTTCTTTCTTTCTTTCTTTCTATTTGCTATTTTTCCTCCCTATCTTCTTTCATTTCAGTGTTTATTTTTCATTTGCACTTATATTGTGTTCGCTTTTTCTAAAAAAAAACAAAACTTGTTTCTCCCTTTCTCTTCCTCCCTCCCTCCATCCCTCCCTCTCTAATTCCTTCCTTCCTTCCTTCCTTCCTTCCTTCCTTCCTTCCTTCCTTCCTTCCTTCCTCCCTCTCGCCCTAATTCCTTCCTTCCTTCCTTCCTTCCTTCCTTCCTTCCTTCCTTCCTTCCTTCACTCACTCACTTCCCTTCTATTTTCTTCTATCTTTCTTTCGCTTCCTATCTTCTCGCACCTTTTCCAATGTCCACGTTTCCTCCCACTTCAACTCTTTCCTTCCCCCCCACTCCCTTTATTTTTTTTTTTCACCTTTTCCATTTTCTTTCCTTTCTTTTCGTTCCCTCCATTTTTTTTTGTTTGTTTGTTTCGCTTTCACGCCATTTCAACATTCCGACTTCCCCTACTTTTCCTGTTCGTTTCTCACTCGCTGGCACTGTGCCCTTCTTTACCATACCTCAGCAGCCCTTGGCTTGGATACCAAGATGAAAAACGAAGACATAAACAAAGTTGATAACGCCGCTCAACACCGGCATTAGCAGTCGAAGACGCAAATTCGTCAGCAACAGAAGCAGAAATAGTCGAACTGTAGCAGTAACGAGACATTTCTCATTGACGTCTATTCCTATTTCCATTAATTCATTTATTTGTTTTAGCGTTGCAAACAACTCGTTTTCAGGCGTTTTATAATATCGTTTCAGTTACTTAGTCCTCTGAACTCAGCCTTGCAACGATTTTAGAACTGCAGAGTTCCCGGTGAGGATATACTTCAATACAATCTGAATTGACCGATTTACACTATTTAAATTGTTCGAACCGTCATATTCAGGACGTTTCGGTCGTTGTACGATCTGACCTTCTTCAGGGGAAATTTCTTGGAATTTTCTCCCTCCTTATTCTTACAGTATTAAGTCGCCTTATTTACGCTGTTTACAATGTTCGTACTATTATCCTCATCTTTACTGTCATATTCACGATGTTTCGACCGTTGTACGTTCCGGCCTTCTTCAGGTGAAAATTCTTGGGACTTTCTCTCTCCTTATTCTTACAGTATTAAGTCGCCTTATTTACGCTATTTACACTGTTCGTACTATTGTCCTCATCTTTATTGTCATATTCACGACGTTTCGGTCGTTGTACGCTCCGCCCTTCTTCAGGTGATATGCGTTGGAATTTCGATTCGAACCCTGTATTTTGCCCACGTGTCATGCTTTTTCTGGATGTCTCAGTTTCAGTTATTTCCCTTTACTAACTCTCCAATTAGTTTTTTCACCTCTGCTGTGATCAGGTATTGAGCTCCTAACTCTTTGGGTCAAGTCCCTAGATTAGTTCAACCAGTGCTTTCATCCACTGGGCCATGTGTTTAACTACAAGTGAAGCATCCAGAAAAGGCGTGGCACGTGGAACTAGAACAATGTACTCCGGTGGACGAAATAAACGGTCCAGTACGAAATTCCAATGTTTATCACCCGAAGAAGGCCGGAGCGCACAACGGCCGAAACGTTGTGAATATGACAACAAAAATGAGGAAAACAGTCCGAACAATGTAAATCGTGTAAATAGTTACAATACGTCATCTCAGTAATATAAACATATCCTGAAGAAACCCAGAGCGTCGAAACGTCGTGAATATGACAATAAAGATGAGGGCAAAAGCAGTTACAATACCTCATTACCGAAATATAGACAGATAGCTGACCGAGGCATAACACTTTCTCAATGACGAAGCGCCTCTTTTCAAAGCGTCGAATCCTTCTCAGTACCTTCGCATTCCATTCGTAAGGAAGAAGTCCCATTCAGCTTTTGCTTCACGACTGTTACTTTGTGGAACAAACTACCGCGAAGACGCTTAGTAGCATTTCCCCATAATATGCACTCCTGAATTCTCTCTCTTGCAGCAACCTCATTCAGTAAACATCTACCTTAAGTGGCTCTTGGGCCATGGGTTTAACTGAACAGTATTATAAAATGTAGGTATTTGCTTTTTTTTTAATCGAATTCACCCTATTCAAGTCAGTAAAGACACAAGAGGTTACTTGGCGTGAAAAAAATTTGAAAACACGAGCCTTATTGAGGGAGAGAGAGAGAGAGAGAGAGAGAGAGAGAGAGAGAGAGAGAGAGAGAGTAATCAGGAAGAGAGTAGATGATGATTGACATTACATTTAAAATTCTGAAGATCTAACTTGACTGGAAAGCATGAAGCCGGAAGAGAGTTCCACAAGTGAGAAGTGTGATAGAAGAAACTGTTAGCATAGAACTTGCGGTTGCATCTAGCCAATTCGCCTGTAAGTTGATGGAGCTTTGTTACTAATCTGGTACTGAACTTAAATTAAAAAAAAAAAAGACTAGGTACCATAACGAAGAACGATGTTTATTTTGATAGATATGTAGAAATGTGGCCCAAGGCCTAAATGGAGGAGGGGGAAAAGGACAGTCATCTTCTGTCTTAACAATAACTTAGTCAGATAATGAACAGGCTAAATAAGATAGTCAGATAATAAACAAACTAACATAGATAGATAGATAGATAGATAGATAGATAGATAGATAGATAGATAGATAGATAGATATGAACAGACTGAGATACATAGATAGATAGATAGATAGATAGATAGATAGATAGATAGATGAATAGATAGATATGAACAGACTGAGATACATAGATAGATAGATAGATAGATAGATAGATAGATAGATAGATAGATAGATAAGAACAGACGGAGATAGATAGATAAATAGATAGATAGATAATGAACAAGGATATATATATATATATATATATATATATATATATATATATATATAGATAGATAGATAGATAAAGAACATATATATATACATATATATATATAAGCAAGTGTAAATGGATATAAATCCGACAGAATGAAGAAATTTTGAAAAACAAACAAAATCCTTAAATGTAGTTAAATTAAATGTCGACGTCTGACGTTTGTGTTTTTAAACCTTTTTCAAGACAATATTCATCAAAATACAATTCAGTTCAATATGACAAATACGATGGGCATAAAAAAAAAGTCTTATTAAACCGAAACGTTCAGACGTCGAGTTTCTTTCATTTAACTACATTTAAGGATTTTTGTTTGTTTTTCAAAATTTCTTCACATATATATATATATAGATAGATAATGAACAGATATATATATATATATATATATATATATATATATATATGGATAGATAGATAATGAACAGATATATATATATATAGAGAGAGAGAGAGATAGATAGATAGATAGATAGATAGATAGATAGATAGATAATGAACACACACAGACACACACACACATATATATATATAGAGATAGATAGATAGATAGATAATGAATATATATATATATATAGATAATGAACAGATATATATATATATAGATAGATAGATGAATAGATAGATAATGAACAGATATATATATATATATATATATATATATATATATAGATAGATAGATAATGAACAGACTGAGATAGATAGATAGATAAATAGAAAGATAGATAATGAACAGGGATATATATATATATATATATATATATATATATATATATATATATATATATATATGAACATATATATATATATATATATATATATAGATAGATAGATAGATAGATAGATAGATAGATAGATAATGAACAGAGATAGATAGATGGATATGAACAAATTTAGATAAAAATGTGAATGCAGTGTCAATCGCTATCTACTCTCCTCCTGATTACTCTTTCCTCTTCCCGCTTATTAATAATGTTTCTGTTGTTAATTCTTCTACACCCGGTAACCCCTTGTCTCTTAGTGGCTTTATTGCCTTGCATGGGGTGATACCGACTGCAAAAAAATGGTAACTACATGAAACGCATATATGCCAATTAGTCATTTAGGCTTGAATCAAGAATGAATGTCGCTTGTAACGAGAGGGGAAAAAAAGTTTAAATCATCAATTAATGATATTTTGCTGATCTGCAATGAATCATCAATTGAACATGTCCATCGTTTAAGGCCTCACATATAAAGGATTTTGGAGATTAAGTTAAGTTGGGGGGGATGGCTGAAACCAGTCCTTCCCTGTTCATTTGTTATGGCCTGATGCATAGGGTAATTTATCGCCCTGTTTCTGTAGACTAGTCATGGCCAAACTGCAGCCCGCGAACTAAAACTGGCCTGATTGCCATTCTGAATAGCGCGCCTAATTTCATGAGGAAAATAACATTATTAAAATGTTTGTTTCCTTTCATTCTCACTTGTTCAATGATGCATAGCCACATCCATAAACAAAGATTAAGTAATTTTCAAATATTTCGTTGAAGGTAACGTTTTGACCATTTTAAACCATTGGCGATTTTCACTATGGAAGATCGTAAGTGTAAACGCCTTTTGCTTCAGAAACAGGACACATTAATGATAATTTTTTTTTTCTGTAGACAATAAATATACTTCTTTTAAAAAATGTTTTTTTATTCACTGATGCATAGGCACATCCATAAACAAAGTTTAAGTACAACGTGTCTTGAATTTTCAAATATTTCTTTAAAGGTAACGTTGTCAGTATTTTTAAACCATTGCCGATTTTCACTAAGGAAGATCGTAAGTGTAAACGTCTTTTGCTTCAGAAAAAAAACGGACACGTTAATGATAATTTTTTTTTTCTGGAGAGAATAAATATACTTTTAAAAAAATGTTTTTTCCATCGTCAAATAAATAAATTAGAAACATATCACACCCAGCAGTTTGTTTTAATCACTGTCATCTGTGATATTATATCAAGAAATCTTTTTTTTTTTAATTATAGATAGAATCTTTTCTCTAAAGAAAAAAAAAATGGAAAGATAACATCATAAAGAAAGGAATGCCTTTTCTTTCATTTATTACACGGACAGATTTTATTATTTAAACATTATTGTTAGTGGATACTCGTATTTAACTAGACGTTCCGTATATTTATTAAACATTATATTTATTTATTTTCGTATTTGAGTAAATGCTGCGAGTTTGTCTTCTTGATTAATTATCTCGGAAACACGAGATACAACAGTGACAGACAAAATAGTTAAGTAAAATGTTTCTTGGGTTTTATAACATTTCGTTGAATGTAACGTTGTAAGCATTTTGAACCATGGACACTTATCTAGATTCTTCCATACTAATGCAGGTGACACCACCCCAGGGCTCTATCCCTGGGCCTATCTTGCTTTTAATTTTTACTAACGACATTCCTGGTGACACCAGAGCTAAATTTGGTATATATGCTGATGACGTAACTATTTACTTTTGTCCCCAAATAAAGAGAGAAATATATTGAAAAAACATTCAAGACCATTCAGTACCCTGTTTCATATTCAACGCGAAACGAAAGGCTCCTAAAATAACCCAAAACAGAAAAGCGACCCATCCTTAAAAACCCAGTGTTTCTATTCCCCTTATAACAATAAAATCAAATCCTGAATAATCAGTTCGTTAGGGTCAAATTGGCGGCTGATCTCAAAAACGATCTACACCAATCGTGG